AGCAGGTGTGAAAGACATTCTGCCTCCTTTTGGTCAAGAGGGATTAATGCAGTCTGTGCAACCCTTCCTAACAGTGCACAGGCACACAGGTGGGCTGGAAGCCTGGTTGAGAGCCTAAACTTCCAGAGATCCACAGAGGGTTTTTCACACACTCCTCGGTGGCGGCCGGACAGTAAGGGGGTATTGATCCACTGCAGAGGACAGAGAAAGGGAGTGTGCAGGACTTAATTTATCCTAAAATCAATGTATGGTAGTGCCTGAACCAGTTATTTTCATTGAGTAAGGATGATAGTTAACCTGAGGAGGTAAGGCCTGTCTGATTCTTATCCATTCTGTCTGGCTAGGTGTCAGCAGGGTAAACAACTGCACAAGGAGGGAGGAGTCTCGATCACAGACAGAGATAACTGTCTCCACCAGGCTCTGTACAGCCAGAACTAGAACCTGTAAACTAAAACATCAACAACAAGAAGAGTTAGCTAGAACCATAATAAAGCACAATGAACAGGCCTACATTTAGGGAAGGATTACTGAAAACCAAACTGACTTTAGAGAAACTATGCCAGGCGAAGGTGTTTTGTTACCTTTTAATGTCCAGAGATACAGTCAGTAGTTGGTTGGTCACCCAAATGGCTGCACTGTGCAGGAAGCCACCTTCCTTGACCTCAGATTCAGAGTGCTGGATCAATGACTGGACCCCAACTAAACAAACTTTCCTCAGCTTATCTAAAAGTGAGTCTTTCAAAACAAAAAACACACAAATTAATTACTTAGTTTACTTGACAAGATATAAACAATTAGCATGCCGTGTGAACGCCTACCGGACAGATGAGTGCGTGTTTGATCTTGGGCGGTGAGTTGGAAAACCGTGAGCAAGAGTTCCTCAGCAGAGAGCAGCAGGAGACAGTCTTGCACAGAGGAAAAAAATGTTGAGGCTACATCACAGATGAAGGAAATGAGTGGTTCCATGTCGCCTGCATCTGACAGACTCTTTGTCTCAGACAGAGTGTTGTGGAGCTTTTCTAAGATCTTCTCCATGTACACCTCCCCTATCAGAGGCTCTGTGCAAGTAAAACAGACCGAAAAGATGATTATATACAGTAGTTTGTTGACTGACAGCAAAACCGTGTACATTTGGAGTTCAGCCAAAAGGTACTTTTGTAGACAAAATCAATATTTGATAGTTTGTGTTCACCATTGTTGTGGTGTTGCGAAAGGACAAGGCTGAGAAGTGTCCAACCGTGGCTGCTCGTAGAAGAGGCAGAAGTGGGAGAGCAGCGTCTGACCTTGCACAGCTCCTCAGTCAGTCCCAGGAGCTGCTCGCCTAGAACTGAACCTTTCAGCCAGTCACTACAGCTCTTCAGAGTCTCAGAATCTGCACATGCCTGAGAGGATGCACAGCAGAGAATAGAACAGAACATTTGATGTATAGGTAAGTAATAAGAGTAATACACTAATAAATGTATGTTTAAAGAGAATGACACATACCCTCTGTATAATCTGTAGGATAATTCCCCACTGTAAATCCATCTAGGAAGCAGAGTCAAGAGCATGAATGTCAGCAAAGAAACAACAGAGAGTTGAACCTGAGACAAAACGGACATCGTCACACTGCACATAGAGAACCGAATCAGTAGCCCCTTTTACACTGCCCACTCCATGCCAGAGTTTTACACCTCGCCATTCTGTATAAAAGGTCATCAGCATGAAGGGTCAACGCCGATCCTCCAAAATGTCACAATGAGGAGAAGTATTTTTGCCAAGATGAGTTCGGCCTATCACCTTTGTAAATGAAACAAGGCAAAATGGGGGGTTGGAGGTCCATGTGAGAGACAGAGAGCAAGCTAGAGAGTGAATGAGGTGAGGGAGCGGCATCAGCTAGAACAAAGTAATCAGATATCATGATCAGCATCACACATTCTGGCAGCTATGTAAAATTAACACTGCGTAAAAGGGGCTTAAATAAAAAAAATCCACCAGAAGGGTCCAAACACTTTACTGTAATCTCTGTATAAAAAGGGCTAACATGAGGTCATTTGTTATGACATCTGCATGTTTTATTGTTGCTACCTCAGTGATGTGGCCGAGTACGCAGGTGGTCTCCTGCTGGCTGCAGCAGTACAGTGAGCTGAAGACCATCTCCACCAGGTGCTCAGTCTCTCTGCGTCCCTTCTCAGCCAGCCACACCAGCACTCGCTCC